TCGTATTCCTAGATATTGGATATGGTGAATACATGTATCTAATATGCCGAAAGCTCATGAATTTGGTATGTTTATTGCTTTGTTAGATTTTTATAGATAAACAACAGACACAACACAATGATAAGAACTTAATTAAATCTCCTGTCCACTGAACAGAGTGCCATTTTCCCTTTGTTTTGACCTTGCCATTTTCATTGCATTTGACTTGACCAAGAAAATTTGAATTAGATTTGCAAGTCAAATGCCAGGAGGCATTTCTCAAAAAGGCATACTATCTGCTGATCTTCTCTCTATTTATTTCTTTTGTCATAAATGTTTGTCTGGCAAGTGCCTTCATTAACTCAGCTCCTTGTTGCTTCTGCTGGCATCTATGAGGATAAACAAAAGCCATAGCTCCGTGATTTCAAATAAATGGGACTGAGACCAAAGTAAAATGTCTGCATAAGGGCAATAGCACAGATGAACTACACTGCAACAAATAGAAATTTGAGATTTTCCTGCTTTCTTTTATCTGGGAAAAAAAAAGAACAATGTGGAAAGAACATGGGATATTTAAGTAATAACAGTAATACTAATGACCATTCTTGTTTTATTAAAAATACACAGAAAATACATGGAAAGAAGGAAGGGAGGAAGGGAGGGAGAGAGGAAGGAAGGCAAGAAAGAAGAAAAGAAGGAAGGAAAAACTGTGGAAAAAATTATACAAATAAAGTTGAAAGATTATCCCAGTAGGCAGAGTCTATCTCTTTAGGGAGACTTTTAATTTTTCATGGACTATGCATATAGAATTAACTAGTTCTACAGCATTATTTGAGTTGGCTCAGGCTGCTGTAACAAAATACTGTAGACTGGTAGGTTAAACAATAAAAATCTATTTCTCACATTTCTGGAGGTGAGGAAGTCTAAGATCAAGGTGGAGGCAAGGTATGTTTTATTCTGAATCCCATTCTCTTGGCTGCTGTAGGAGGCCACCTTGTTGCTTGTGTACTCAGATTACCTCTTCTTTGTGCACATATGGGTAGAGAAACAGGAAGTTCTCTGGTGTCTCTTCTATAATGACACAAATTGTATAGGATCAGGACTTCACTCATGTGACCTCATTCAACCTTAATTACTTCTTTAGAGGTTCCATCTCCAAATACAACCACACTGGAGGGAGATGGAGGGCTTCAACATATGAATTTGGAGGGGAGGGGCATTCCGTCTATAACGAATATTTATTGGCTTATTTACTAAGGCAAACTTTTGTTATAATGATATTAATCTTATATGAAAGAAGGTCCTTTGGTTTCCAACTTCAAATGATTCAAAGGCTAAAGACCAATAATCAAAGAAATTCCTCCTATACAAACTGTAGGAGATACTTACTCAGACTATCTGTCCCCACTCTGAATGTAAGACTAAGTCATCCAATTTCAGCTCAGTAAAAGAAAATTCTGGTGTGCACCTCTTTAGTATGATGGTATTTCAGTTACTTTAGACTAAGTTTCTTCTTCTCTGAACCTTCTCTATTTGAATCTAACCATCCTCAGTCCATTGTTCATGTTATATGTGAGGCATCTCTAAGGAAAGACTTGGAAACTATCACTATTTCTCTTAAATTTCCATCTAGGACTCCAGGCTACATATTGTTTTCAATAACCTAAAATTAAACTTTCTCAAATATAAATTTCGAACTGCATATAATTCTCTATGACAAAATAGCATAAGAGAAATAAATATGAGCCCTACAAAATATGGCTAATGATTATTTAGCCATTTATGCATCTAAAATTGGTTATTTGTTATTTAAAAGTCCCCTAGTTTATTTCTGTATCCCATCTCTGTCATATCTCCATTATTATATCATTTCTTTGTAATAAGTGTTTTGATGAAAATATAAAGTTTTTTTTAAAATATAAAATTATATAACTAATTAATCTAGAGAGATTGGGGACAACTATTGTAGGAAATTATCTATGAAGAAGTGACATTCAAGCACAGATATAACGAATGCATAAATATTAATGATTTAAATTTGGGCTAAGGAGGGGTAGCAAGATTATCAGGCAGAATAAAGAGAAAATACAAAATCCTTGAGGAGAGAAGGTTCTTGACTTAGAAAAGGCCAGGATGGTGAGAACATTGAGAGAGAAGAGTAACAGAACATGAAGCTGGACAACTAGGCAGGGACTAAACCATGCAAGTCACATGGAAAGAAAAGTAAATCTCCAATTTATAATAAAAGTTCTAAATGTACTTAACAAGCTTCTAATGAATCAATTGGACTCTCAGTTTCTTAAAACCGAAAGCATTTCAAATAAAAGTAGGTTAAACACCACCAGCAATAATGACTTGAAAATATGATTTTAAAAAGGTATTACTAGAGCAACAAAATTATACTGCACCAATAATAAATCTAACAAAATGTGTAAAAACTCTTGCAGCTAAAATAAAAACATTGTATAGAAATATATTTAAAAAAATAATAACACTACAATCTTGATATAGAAAACTGAAGATCATAAAGACGTCAATTCTCTCAAAATTGATTTATATTTTAACATAATTTCTACTTAAGTTCTTATAGGAATTTTTATGGAACTTGATAATCTGATTCTATATTCGTTAGAGATTAGCAAATGAGCAAGAATACCAAGACACTCTTGAGGAACACTGTAGGGGAAAATAACCTAACAAACATCAAGATTTATAATGGTTTTATACATAAAAGCAAGGTATTAATGCAGGATTAGGAAAAAAAGGGCATTAGAACATAATAGAGAGCCCCTAAGAGGATGTTTTAAAGAAACAAATCAGAACTTCAGAAAAGATATTTGCCACATGTAGATTTTTTAAAAAGTATTTCAAATATATTAATTTGAACTATGTAAAACTGTGATAGTCAATTTTTCTTATATGTACAACAATGACATTTTCATTTGGCCTAATAAAATAACACAACTAAATCACTAATAAGTACAAACAATCAAAAAAATTATTGTTTAAAAAAATGAGTAGGCAACTAGGAAATTGACTTTGCCTGGACATAGCAGGTAAAATCTGGCAAAAATAACTCATACACTACTTCTGTCAGTCAACAATTTTCTGTATATAGAAGAGGAACGACATGCATGGATGCATTGAGTATTAAAACAATATATAGGTACAAGTTTAATATTAGATCCTCCAATGCTTTACTAAATAATAAAGAGGTGGCTTTGTTCTGCAAGAATAATATTCCCACTGCACTTTCTAAATTATCATTATGGACCGTTTTAAAGAGAGAATATGCAAAGATAGTTTCTCATACAAATAATGTCAACCACAAAAAGGAAAGAGCCTCATTGTAGTTTTATTAATTGCATCTCGAAAAACAATTCCCATCTTCTGTTTTGAACCATGGTATATGAAATCATCCACAAATGTTCCTTGCACTAATTAACTCTACTCAAACTTGTCACACACTTTCTGAAAATACAACACAGCTCTATATTCTGTATCTGTTTTGAGATAATGTTCTGCTTTTAGCTTGATGGTATTTCCTTCTAGGTCATGGAAATGAAGATTGCTGGTCATTTGATATATCATCGTTTAACTCCATTAGAGACTTCTTTTCACTCTTCAAATTACTAAATAATGAAGCACAACCAAAAGAAATTTAGAAAAAAGTTAACTCAGTCAGAGGATTTTTTTTTATTATTTTTATTTTTGTCTGACTGCTTACTAGTAAGTCATTATAGGTCCACTTATATCTTAAACAAAGCAAATATAAATATAATTTATACATCTATTTTAGGGAATGGCTATCATTTGGAAATCTTGGGATAGTACTATACATTTAGTTTCAGTCATTTGAGTAGACTGTCTGCTCATGTGTTTGAGTATTCTGGAAACCAGTAAGACCCTGATGACCAGGAATTGGACAGCAATGGTTTGGAATCCTTGCCTTAGTATGCACTGATGAGGTAGCCAAGTGTTCTGGGGTCTGCATACTTGCCAATATTTGAAAAACTTCCAGCTGAAATAATAATTTTGCCCAAAAAACATTGCACATATTTACCAAAATTATGTTTATTTGCTTTTAGCTGGAAACCCAGTGTGAGATAATCATTATTCCCATTTTGATTAGATGTATGTCTTTCATTAGACAAAATGAGAAAATAAATTAATAATTAATATATGCAATATGACTATAGTTTGTGAGTTAGAAATGAAAGACAACAAAAAAATCATTTTGAGGGTGAAATTTTGAGAACCATAGGGCTAACATGGGACTACTCACTTCTCACTGACCAGTTTTACTTTGAACTGAATGAAGTATGCCTTTAAATATTGGTTAAATGATATGTATCTCCATTTAATTAACTGACACGTCCAAAATGGAACACTTGCTCCTATGACTTTTCAGTTTATTCTTATTTGTGTAACCACTACAGGTCTTCTCTACAAAATTTTAATATATATGGCATATCTCCTCCAATTGGCAGTAAATGGGACTGTTGTTAAATGTTAGTATAAATGCTCTAGGACATAAATGACTTTTTAGGTACCCATGGGAGTCAACAAAATGCATCGTTTTGTATGCCATTTTGTCATGCAGTCTGTCTTTTAATACAGAGCTTCTCAAACATGCCTTTCAAATGTGGTAAAATTTTGTCCAGCCAATTTTGCATTACCAAGATAAGTGAAAGGAAATTAAACTTATTTATGGGGACTTGGGATAATGTGTCTTCTGAAAAGACACTCGAAGATTATATAAATCTTTTGTGTTTACAAGATGATGATAAAACTTCATTAGTATATCATGGGACCCAATTCAATGGACCTGATAGGATGTGGAGGTTTTGGTCCATGCCAACTGGGAAAGTGGGAAGAGGGGAGTGGGAGAGAGCCTGAGCTGTCCAGTGGCATTGGGATCATCTTGAAGTTTGCAGAGGATTTATGAACTAGAAAAACAAGTGTTGTTCAGGCAGCCATTTTGAAATGATGCAAACTATTGTAATTTTCACTTTTTCCAGATAATTCCCTCAGCATTTTGGCAAAGCATAATGGATTCAACCGCCAGAAGCAAGAAGTCTATCTTTTACCTATCATAATCAGTGATAGTGGGAATCCTCCTCTGAGCAGCACCAGCACCCTGACCATCCGGGTCTGTGGCTGTAGCAGTGATGGTGTTGTCCAGTCTTGTAATGTTGAAGCTTATGTCCTTCCGATTGGACTCAGTATGGGCGCCTTAATTGCCATATTAGCATGCATCATTTTGCTGCTAGGTACGTATTTCCTTCATAGCCTAATGGTCACCATTTTTCTGGTTCATAAATGACTGTAAATAAGGACGACAAACCCCGACCTAGCCAGGCATCAGCGTTCTTTTGGGGAAGAGGAACTTCCTGTACTTCTCCAAGCTTTGAGGTCACTAAGAGGGAGTGAAGAGAAAAAGGGTTGTGATAGTAAGTGTCCAATTGGAGAGGACTGTTTAGTGCCTTTTTCAGTCCCATCACCAGTAAACAAACAGACTAAGCATATGGTGGTGGGAGTGGGGATGGACCTTTATGTGGTTACAGCAGCATCTATTATGAAGAAGACCTCCAGATCTTCTGATGCACACAAGTTTGACGCATAAGGGGCTCACATCTGTCCAGAATACTCTTTTATCTAAACAGTGTATAGATTGGATGGCTGAGTCCATCCAATCACAAAGTTTGGTAAGAGAAAAAGAAAACAAACAAGCAAATGAAAAAATATATTTTCTTCAAACTTACATTGTCTTCCTCAGATTTTTCTTGATATTAAAATCAAATTATAATGAAGATTGCAAATTAAGGAAAGGTTTCTGTAATGCTTCCATTAAAAAAAAAAAAACAATTAAAACATGAGATTAGATAGTAGAAAGATATACAAAAGGAAAGTTATGTCTTATCCTGCCTAAAGGTTATGTTAGTTACTGCCTTCCCTGTTGCATCTGTCCTGCTGACCCAGTGTTCTGGATTGAGCATAATTTCCTGATATGTTTTATCTTGTTAGCCCACATTTGATTTGGCTGACCTGGCTGGCTGGGTATGTGTTCCTCTCTGTTTCCCCACCTTTCGGGCTGCCTTCCTTGATGGAGGAGTTTCAGCCTTCACACAAGACAAGAAGTTGACCATGCAGATTTGACATTCATCTTGATATGTCACTTCACCTGTGAATGAACACTATTTGATTGGAGAAAGTCTAGAAGAACTGATAAAACACCAAATATACCAGATATAATCTATTCTGCTCCTTTTCTTTATAGAAGAGGGGCATAGAACCAAAGAATATTAAATAACTTGCCCAAGATACACAGCAAGTTAGTTACACTATCCGTACTGCTTTCTATTTTTGTGCCATTCACTCCAGAGCTTATCACAGAATTAAGTGCAGCTTTCACCATGACTAGATGAAAGCTTATTCTTTTAACCCAGCTTCATCACCATGTAACAAACAGAAGCAACCTGGGAAAGTACTCACTCAAAATTCAGTACTCATCCTTCAGAAAGGTGCTTTGCTTAATTCTCAAGTCAATGTTATTAAAGCTAATGCTCAGAAGTTTTTAAATAATGCCCCTCTATCTTAAAACACATGGAGTGTTGCTCGTAAAATTGTATGCAAGTTTGGCTAACTGTTATTTCATGTTTTTTTTCTACAGTCATCGTGGTGCTGTTTGTAACTCTGCGGCGACATAAAAACGAGCCATTAATTATCAAAGACGATGAAGATGTACGAGAAAACATCATTCGCTACGACGACGAAGGAGGAGGGGAGGAAGATACAGAGGCTTTTGATATTGCAACTTTACAAAACCCAGATGGAATTAATGGGTTTTTACCCCGTAAGGATATTAAACCGGATTTGCAGTTCATGCCAAGGCAAGGGCTTGCTCCCGTCCCGAATGGTGTTGATGTCGACGAATTTATCAATGTACGGCTACACGAGGCAGATAACGACCCCACCGCCCCGCCGTATGACTCCATCCAGATTTACGGCTACGAAGGCCGGGGGTCTGTGGCTGGCTCCCTCAGCTCCTTGGAGTCCACCACCTCAGACTCAGACCAAAATTTTGACTACCTCAGTGACTGGGGTCCCCGCTTTAAGAGACTGGGCGAACTTTACTCTGTCGGTGAAAGTGACAAAGAAACTTGACAGTGGATTATAAATAAATCCATGGAACTGAGCATTCTGTAATATTCTAGGGTCACTCCCCTTAGATACAACCAATGTGGCTATTTGTTTTAGAGGCAAGTTTAGCACCGATCATCTATCAACTCAACTACATTTTAATGTTGAACCAAAAAAAAAAATTAATAAAAATAAAACGTATATGTTAGGAGGTTATAAATCTTGTGGAGTGTGAATTAAAGTATGTGGAGTGTCTACAAGTCTTTGGATATTTGATATTTACCTAACCACCACAGACAAAGATTGGGATCCTGGCTAATCCTTAGACTAATGGGTTAAAAAGAGGAAAAAATAATCAAAATTAAAAGGTGCTTTCTTAGAAAAATGGACCTGCAAGGAATTTGCTGCTGATATGTGTCTTCTGCAAGGATTTTTATAAATGCAAATGGCTTTTTTCCCCTTCACCAATAAGGATCCCGCCACAAATGATAAAGCAATACTTGGTCGGCTGTACGTTCTGACTTTTTGGAGTTTTAGGAGGCCTCCTAGATTATGCGGTACGGTGACCACACATTGTACATAACTGTTGGCCCCACTCATCAGAGACTGAATAGCATCTTTAAATATTGTGTCGAGCCTTAAAATATTCACATGTTCGTAATCCATTCCAGGGTGGGGATTGGCAATTCAGTGGTGGGAGGAGAGAAATCCCATTAAACAGGCTTGTTTTCTGGAAGCAGGATTACTCGTTCCCTCCACTTCATCTTCTTCCACAAGGACACAAAGATAAACTATATCACACAGTGGACTACATAAAAGACAGATGGTTTTATTGCTAGCGCGTGAATTTATTTGTTTAATTCTCGAAATAAATATTTTATTGATGTCCATTAATGCTTTTATTTATTAAGGTTGGTAATTATAGATTAAGGGACTATATGGGGAAAAAAAACCCTAAACTATATCCATTAATAATCCTTTAGATTGTTTTATATAAATATATATATATACACACACAATGAATGTTTAATACATGTACATTTTGATGAGATGAGTATGGCAGGCAATATTATCAAAAGGGGAGCTAATAGTCTCTTTAGAGTAGAAAGTGTTATTGTGACTGGTGATGGCAGGAACAGCATTTTCCCAGAGAAGCTTTTGGACTGTTTTCTATTTTGTTCATAATCCTAGTATTTGGTGTTTTTACTACAAGCACAAACATCTGAAAGTATATTGATTCATGTGAATATTTACACTCTAGACTTTTAGATATCTACATAATGCCCCGCCTAATATAAATGCTTCACATCGCCCCCTCTGTTTTAGAGCAGGAACTGATTTGTACATAATTTTACTGCTTCTGTTTTTAGTACTTCTCTCTCTGATCTTCATAGTGATGCACAGAACGTCTTAGACCCCAAAAGAGAACTAGATGATGTGAGCATATTCAATTTGTAATGCAGACCTGCCATTTTAGGAGTAGAAAATGTATGATAAAACTCTCAAGTACTACACGCAGATCATTTTAATTTTCTACTTTGCTTTAATGCAATATTGTTTATTTACTCCATGTATTGTATTCAGAGAAACTCCTGTATTGTTTCCTACTTTGTGAAATATATTTTTATAAATACCTTTGTTGTCATCACTTTTTCTTTTCCGATTAGATAAAGACCTATTAACAGAGTGCCATCAAGTCTAAGTAGAATTCTAGAACATTCAACTAAATTATTGCAAGGATAATTTTTATTTGCAAGAGTTTTTATTATAAAGAAACAGAGACGAGAAATGGCTTAGGGATGATCATGTTACAAGATACCAACAGGGACATTGAAGGAACGTGGTGCATGTAACGGCTAGTCCAGCTGTGTCAGCTGGGTCCTCCTGGAAGCAGATGCTGAAGCAGAGTTAAGAGTCAAAAAACAAAAGAGAGAGGAAGCAGGATTGAGTAGGGAATCGCTTCAGAGAGGGATGCAGAACTAAAACTTGTAAAAGCAAAGATTAGAAAGCGGAATTTGGCAAGAGAGCCTTGGACCTGAAAAATCTCTGCCAGCCAAACGGAGGGTTCCGAGTGAAAGACTGCCTGTTGGAGAGATCTTTCATTGTTCAAATATAAACTATGATTTCAAGCATTGGCTCGAGCTGCCTGAGAAGAACATGACATTGCTAGAAAACTAAAGGCATTGACTAATGGAGGCTGCTTCTACTGTGATAGAAAGAAAATGTTTGAATATTATATTTAAAATTTACAACTATCCGGTGACTTCACTGAGTTCTTATTGAGTTTCTGTTGCCTGAGAATAGTTCATAGTTCGACCTTTATGCTTATCGCTATGGTTATTGAACGCTTTTTCTTGAAGTCCAAGTGATTGCCTCAAATGACTTTAAAATACACCAGGACTTGGTGTTTGAAACAAATACTTGGTGAAGTAGGTTATTAATAGTAGTTGCATAGTAATCAATAATAATATTCCAACTATCTTGCACAAACCGAGCTGAGGTCATTACTTTACCTATCTCTAGCATACCAGACTCATCTGTACTATATTTCTCAGTGAAGTGCCATGGATTACATATATATAAATATGTCTTTAAAAAGACGCTATTTTTTCAGGAATATAGAATCCATATCCTCCAATTTTGAAAATCAGTAAGATAATCTCTATATGGTGGTTTTCATGGAAAGATGACATCTGGTATACTAGTTACCCAAATAATACCTCAAAATTCATTTAGTAGAGGAATAAAAAACAGAAGCGTGAATCTCTTGCTGATTTTCCTTGCCACCATCAGGCTGGCATTTTGTGCTTAAAAACACAAATAAGGTTTTATAATATGGAATCAAGTAAATAACACCATGTTCGTACCGTGGCTGAACCGTACTTCTAGAGTACCCTGAATTGTGTCTTAAACACCCATATATGTATACTCTGGAGAATTAAGAGGCCATTTTTTACAATAATCTTAGATGGGTACAGTTATTTTAAGATGAGAAATAATTTATAATAGGATGGTTCATAAATGCTAGAAATGTAACAAGGGTTAACCTTGCCATACAGAATTGTGATTTCTAGGATATGAAATTTACAGTGAAAACGTTGTGGAAAAAAAGCGTGGGTAAGTGTTTGTGTGTATATAAAATAAAAGAAAACTTAGCTTTGCTGGCATTACTAGTGAAACAAGAATGCTTAGAAAAAGCTAAATGTGTCTTTGGGAGAGTTTGTTTAATCAGATGCTTAAAGTAAGACAAGTCTCTGCGTGAGACTTGGAAATCTCCTAAGAGCAGCCTGATTCCACACTGAGATTCGACAGAGTTCTGGGTTATGCTGTATTTTGGAGAAGGAAAAGCCGGTGCTGAGAGCTAAGTAGCCAATTACTCTTTATAGCCACATAAGGACTGGAGGCAAGTAGGCCCTTCCAACAAGTTGTATTATGCGATCACTGGCTTTGCAGGAAATCTCACGAATGTATAACCTTCTGATTGCCTTTTTGATTGAAAGTTTCATCTGAGATCAGGGCAGTGCAACCAGTAATAAGATTTCAAAAAATCCCATCACTGGCACTGTAGGAAAGGCTGAGCATGACCGAAATCCCATCATTGTCAGTCAGAAAGATAAGGTAACAGTGGGTATTACTATAAAAGCTATAGAAATGCACTATTTAAATATAGTTATCGACGCTGAAAAGAAATATATATATATATACACACACATATACCCAATTAAGTTACCAGAGATTAATTTATATTTATGTTTTGTCTCACAGTCTCACACACTACCAAACCTGGAATGGTAGCTTTTTGTTTTCCTGAATTTAACCTTGAATTTAAAAGAAACTGGACTGAGGGTAAAGGATTTTAAATGCAGGTTTCTATTTGAGAATAAAATAATGGTTTATGATACCTGAGATTAGAATTAAATGTGTCACATTGTGAAGCTGGACTAGATGGTTTTGTTATTGTGTTTTTGAGTAGAAAATAATTGTAGAATGTATTTTGCAGGGAGTAGTTTTCAACATCTTTTTATTTTCCTCAATTCTAGTACTGTTTTATTTGATATACAAAAGTTTCTTTGCGAAGTTACTGAGCTGGCCAGACAGTTTTGCAGTTATTGTTCTTTATGATGATGGTAGAGGATAGAGATTCTATTATTAAAATAGATGTTTACTTTTATTATTGTCTTTAGTCAACAAATATTTATGTATCACAGGGTATATTGGTTTTTTTATATAAATATACCCTTGATATTTAAGATATTTTAATGCCAGTATTTTTCACCCAATCCTAGTATTATGGGATCATGCAATTTAAAAATCCCCTTGACTTGATGGACTATCTAAAAGGAAAGAATTGTGTCTCCTACATATATTAAGCATCAACCAGCTCAGGAATTAGGCTCTAAAGTTGATATGGAATGATTAAATGAGATGGCATATCCAAACTTATTTCCTTTATTTAAAAAATGGAGCTAGTGAAACTCATCTGAACTAATTGTTAAACGTTCTTTGTCGATGGTCTTGTAAATATTAGTATTTAAGTCTAGGTTTAAACTTAGGTTTCTCTAACATTAAAGCCCCATAATTTTTGAATAAAGAACACTCTCTGTAATCATAATGTGAGACTTGCAATATTAAGAAATAAAAACTAAGTTATCTATAGTGTTATTAAAGAACCAAGGGGGAAGTACCGTATGACTTTAAATGGAAAGACTCAAAAAACCTTCATAGAGAAGTTTTCAAAAAGATAGGAACTGAAGAATGAGTTCAATAGAAATCATAGATCTTCAAACACCCAAAACTAAGAGGGATCAATTATAAAAAGCACCACATTCACAGATTAATGACACTTTTTTTTTTTTAACATTCAGAAAGATCCAGAATGTGACTGCTCATAGGACCCACATAGGTTTGCCTAAATTGTGGCACATTTTGTGGATAAGAAAAGTAATGTTCAGAGATATCTTAAGGAATTTTTTAGAGTTGAATTATACATCTAATAAGTGAGAGAGACAGGAACTGACCTCTGC